GTTTCAATGAATGTCAATGGACGGCGTTGGTTGCAAACAAATGGACATATTGTGAAAACTATCAGGACTACGGCTTAGCCGTTGACATGTTTAGTGGCAGCAGGGATAGCTGAACGTTTTGATATAAGATTTGTGTAGGTGGGCCTGAAAATGAGGGAGTGGTGGCGGTTTAGAAATCATGTCCTGATTTTTCAGCTTTTGCCAGCTCCCACTCTAGCTTTGCCATTCATTCCTATGGGACAAATTGCGCCACAAGAACGACGATATTCCGTGAACCATTCGGCGAAACGTTCCACAAAGTAATAGCAATCCGATCGGGAACAATCTGCGCGTTTTGGTAAATTTTTGTCTATGTAGTGTAAAAACTGTGGGAGGAGTTAGGGTGGCAAATTTTGCTATAATAATAATAATATATATGTGAGATAACATTAAGTGGTCTTGCTATGCAAGAACACTTAATAATAATAATAATATATATGTGAGATAACATTAAGTGGTCTTGCTATGCAAGAACACTTAATATATATGTGAGATAACATTAAGTGGTCTTGCTATGCAAGAACACTTAATAATATATATGTGAGATAACATTAAGTAGTCTTGCTATGCAAGAACACTTAATAATAATATATATGTGAGATAACATTAAGTGGTCTTGCTATGCAAGAACACTTAATAACATGTATATGAAATAAAAAGGTGCGCTGTGTCTTTAAGACAATAGAGTATACACAAATAGTGCAATGTGATGTTCAAACCACTTAATTTATTAAAAATAAGTGAATATGAATACAATGAAAACAATACTTATTAAATTGCACTGTACCAGTGGTGCGAATACAATAATGTGCAAATAATATAACAAAGTGCTACAATTAACTTGTGCAAAAAGTGTGTAAACTGCCAAGTGCAACAATCCACTTACATCAGTATAAATCCACATACAATGTATTAGGTAGGTAGCCTCAATTCAGTATCACATGTAAAAAAAGAAAAAGAAATACAACAGGGCAATATTGCCAGTGAAAACAATACTTATTAAAGTGCACTGTACCAACAGTGATAATGCAATAATGTGCAAATAATACAAAGTGCTATAATGAACCAGTGAAAAAATAGTGTAAACTGCAAAGCGCAACAATCCACTTACATCAGTATATATACACACATACATTGTATTAAGGCAGGTGGCCTCAATTCAGTATCACATGTAAAAAAGAGAAAGAAATACAATTGGGCAATATTGCCAGCTCACATACAATCATAGATAAAGGAAATGAAGAAATTATGTGAGGGTTATGAGCTTGTACACTGGTGAGGTGTAGCTTTTTCAATTATAGATTATTTTACTGATCTTATTTAAATTTTTAGTGCCTTTTACTTGTTTAGTTTTAGAGTTTTTTTCAACAAAAGGTTGTAAAAAAATTATATATATGTATATATCAATATATCACTATCTCTGAATGCTTGCCCAGCCATAACATTTTTTTAAAATCATTTGACGAGATGTAAATCCACCATGCTGAGACACTGTCTACCGTTCAATATGTTAAAATAAAAAACAAACAAACAAACCAAAAAAGGACCTTGCAAGCAGCAGCTCACTAAAATAAAATCAGAACTGGTTCCAAATTACATTTTGAGAACCAGCGTTTCCTAAACAACATCAGAATCATTTTTGTTCTAAAATTACAAAGACGTTTATTCACTAAACACCAAACTGTAGTGAAATAAAAGCCAAAGGGCATAATTTACGTAATATAAATAGTAAAACAGAATATGTAATATTCTACAAATGGACAATTTGGATACATTCTGCAACTCATCTATAGCCACACCTGGAATGAATAACGGGATTATTCACTGTGGTCTGATGGCCTCATATAGAATTGGGCAAACCCGTCTGACTGTATATTCAGACTGCAAAATACAGACATTGTTCAAGCTATTCAACAATGTGCGAACATTGCAACATCAGCCTGAATTTGGTTTGGATTTCAGATGGAATATGGACAGAATTCTTTAAATTCTGGCCCGGTCGCTTCAAATCCAGACCCAGATTGAAAACAAATCCTGGTGGCAGCACAAGCAGACAGCAGGCAAACTGTTAAAAACCCTGGCCAGTTCGTGGTTATTCCTGTGGCGAGTGGTCAGTGCTTATAGACAGCTGCCACATTACATGGTTTAAAAAAAATAAAATGTCTATGGGAGTCACTAAGACCCCTATATTACTATAAGGAAGATTTAAACTTTTCTTATGCCCCCATCAGGCAGCCGTGTGATAGATGGGGACATAGCTACTAACTAAATCCAAAGTAGGGACTGGGCAGTCATTGCTAGCCAGTTGCAGGAAAGGCCACATTCAATCATATTGCCCTTGAATGTGGCTGGGGACATAAAAATGAATAATGACTGTTGGACAAATTACTGGTTTCCCACCATGGTAAGCGTGAGGGAACTATTTAATAAACAAAAAGAGAGGGACATCCTAATGTCTCCCCCTCACCCTACCCATGGTCAGCAGCTGATGGCTATTATAATACAAAAGGGGGCCTAGTGTCCACCAAACCCTCAGACATTGGCAGAGGGGTGGATTAAGAATCCTCCGTGACCCCACACAACTAAAGCATCCAACCAATTGCTGCGGATTTGATTGGGCCGACAAAATTCCGACCATACTTGGCTTTAGTAAATATGAGAATTGCCATTGTGGTTGGAATTTTGTAATTTTCACCAGATTTTTAACCTCTGTACAAAATTCTGTGTTTAAGGAGTAACCCTAGTCTGAATTCTGCATTTCGGTTTACAATGCACTAGAGTACAGTGTTTAGTGAATAAACCCCTACTTCTTTCCCTCTTTAGGTCCCCCTAATTCTCACTGACTAATTAAGAAGTGATGCCATGTTCAATTGTCTTTTTCAGTGACTGACGAGATAACAAATGCCTAGGTAACCGTGTTCTATATTTAACCTGATTTCAGACAGCTAGTACTGTCATCTCTAAATTCTGGGATCTCTGCCAACGGTCACCGTAAAAATGTTGTAGCCTTTTTGTAAGA